GCCCTATGTTGATGCTTTGTTTTCTGTAAAAAGTTTATTGAAGAACTCGACCCTGAACCCGTTGAACCGAGCCTCAAAAGTTTTGACCCTGCTGCCGGGCCACAGCTGCAGACAGCGCCCGCAGCGCACCTCGGCAGCGTGTTGAAGCATGCCTCGACCTATCGACCAGCATGCCCGACCAACCGCCGCGAGCTTCAACCCTCAACAAGCCGCAGTGCTCAACCAGCGTCCCTCGACCAGCCGACACGCTTGACCACCTGCAACGCCTCTTGACCGGACGCCGCGCCCGTCAACCAGACATGCATCGATTGGGCCTGCATTGACCAACAACACTCTGCCGACCCTCGAGCAACGCCCAACGTGCCCAGACGAGCCCAGTCGTGTCGATGCAAGCCCATCATGTCCTTTGCAAAGATATAAATGGAGTTGTGGAGGAAGACGGAGGAGTCATGCCCTTTCCAGAGAAGTGTCATTTTTCACTCGAAGTGTTGGAATCTGAAAAAAAATGGAGGAAAATATAAAAAAAGTAGTTTCTTTAAGGTTTCGAAGTAGAGAAGAAAGGGAAAGAAGGGCAATTTCTTGCTGGCAAGGTGGACGAAAATTTCGGGAGGAAGAGATGAAAAACAGAAAATCAAAATAGAAAATAAAGTACATGAATTACAGATTAGAGAACTTACTGCCAGAAGGAAGAGAAAATTCGCGTTGCAGAGAGGTCGATTGCAGAAAGCTTGAAGATTTAGGGTACAATTATATCTTAAATATTGCGAAGGTGAAAAACCAAAAAAATGGCGTGGTTGGAGGTATCTATAAGGGTTGAAGAAGATGAGTGTAGGAGCTGGAAAATTATTGACCGTTGGATCAACAAGCAAGTGTACGATGGAGATTTAAAAAGAGAATTAAATGTCACAACTGTTGGATTAATGATAAAATTCTCGATTGAGATTAATCTGGCTAGTTGAAAGGTTCGAAAAATTAGTCGTCGGATTAAAGGAGAATCAAATGGTTGCGGTGGAGTGGCGTGGTTAATGCGCACGTCGTACGAGGAGGCATGGCTCACAGGGCAATGATGACAGCCTGATAGGTGAAGGGACATGTCTGACAAGTAGCAGGTTCAAAGTTTGAAATTCAAAATGGCGGTAAAAAAGGAAAATGTTCGAAGAGCAGAAAAGAATGTGACGGGTGGTCGATAGACAACAAGCGTTACAACAGCTAAATGGGCGGACAAAAATCTACTCTTGGATTGAGTGATTCAGACTCGACCAGGGTGGGGGGACTATATGATATGGGATACTAAGAGACTGGTCGAATAAATCGAGAAAATTACTTGGTTGAGCGAGAGCCGAACGGAGTGGTAATGGTCGAACATCATAAGAACAAGAGCCTCTGGACTGGAAGACAACCCAAAGGGTATTTCGGTACGAGAAGAGTAGGTCGAGCCAGAGCCCTCGGATAGCCTGGTCAAAACTCAACATGCAGCAGCAAGTCGACCAAGATCTGGTCGAGCCTTCGAGAAGATATCAAGCGAATCAGATCCCCAAATGATGGGGACACGTGGCAAGGCCTGATCGGCCCATAGTCCATAATTGTCTCTGACACACCTCCAGTGTGTGTTGTACGACCGGGTAGCCCGAGCAGTTTCGACAACTGACTTAACACTTCAGGGCAGCTTCTAGAATAGGTACCTCACCCCTATATATAGGGGTGAGACTTGCGATTTTAACCATTACGTTCATTATACCCTTTGAGAGTTCATCTTCTACACCTACTCATTTAAGCATCGGAGGCTCTTCACCGCAGACCCCCTCCCGTGTGGGAGTTTTTGCAGGTACAAGAAGTTCAACAGGCGAGGAAGAGCCCCAGTAAAACAATTTCTAGTCGGTCGGAGGTTTTTACATTACCATTTGTGATGCAATATATTGTCATCGTGCGAACATATTGTGTGCCCATTATGCTACCATTGCGTGATCATGCATAGAATAAGGTCATTGTGCGATTTTTTTCGCACGCTTTGGAGTGAAAAATAAGTGTGTTGAAAATGTGTTGTGTACAATACAGTATAACAGAGTGAAAAAGATGTTCGCCATTTATTTATTCATCGCTTTTCTTGGTTCTGTTTTTCTCTAGAAGTGAGGGTCTACTAGAAGCGAGGGTTAGTAGACGGTTGATGTTGGAAAGTCTGATTATGAACTTTCTTGTGAAGATCACAAAAAAGGGGGAAAATATGCACAAATGTATCGAAATTTCTTAGAAGTGGCTTTTTTCTATTTTGGCGATGAGGACAAGTGCGTCATCTCCTCAAAGATGGTAAGAATCAAGTGGAAACTAAGACAGAAGTAAACTATAACGATGATCGCTCTGAAAATAATTTCTTAAAATATCTGAACAAAATGATTTCAAATCGGACATAACTTTTGGCACAGAGCTGGAACATCCCAAAAGGGGTCATTATCATAACAAATATCCACCCACTTTTCTTCACTTCCATTCATTGGATAAACGCATTCTGATCTTTGTCGTTCCAACTTCATGCGTATGTCATTTACTGGTACATAAAATCCATTTATCTTGTCGAAATCCATACTGTAAGTCGAAGTGTGATCACAAGGGTTTATTTGAGTGGACACATTTCGTATCCTCCCGTGAAATAGTGAAAATATGGCTTATAAGCATCCTCGAGACTACTTTCCGGGACACCATTGGGAAAAGTTGTGTCAGCTTGACCTTGACATGGTTTGTCGATACTACTAAAATTGTCTGGATTTCGAAAATTGCAAATGTTTGGGTGGCTAAGGGATCAAGACTTGGAGGGTGGGCCTCATTAGGCATGCCTCTCTTTCGATCGAGAAGGTTCCGGAATTTCAAAGATAGAGATGGATTACAAGGGACTAGGGGTGAGCATCGGTTCTGTAAAAACCGCACCGCACCGAAAAAAACTAAAAGCCGAATTTTTAAATTTTATTCACCGAACCGCACCGCTATAGACTGAAAAACCGAACCGCACCGAACCGAAAATTTCGGTTCGGTGCGGTTCGATTTTTCGGTTAACCGAAATTAAAAAATATAACCACCAATTAGTGTTATGTAAGTAAAATTATAAAAATTAAGGTGATATTTTATTAAAAAAATTAAAAAAAAAAAAGTGACATTTTATGACATTCGGTGCGGTGCGGTTCGGTTAAAACCGCACTATTCGGACAGAAAATCGAACCGCACCGAAATACTTGTGGTTTTTAAAACCCAAACCGATAATCGAACTTACCAAAAACCGCACCGAACCGAACCGAATAGCTCGATTCGGTGCGGTTTTTCGGTTTCAGCTCGATTTTGGACGTTAACAAAATTGGTGTTAGAGCCACGAAGAAGGCAAGAAGCCTCGTCGTAAGCCCAAGCTGCCTCCTCAGCTGTGTTGAAAGTGCCGAGCCACATTCGGATCCTTTTGACTCGTCTTCTTGATTTCGGCAACCCATTTGCGAGAGGATCTGTCTCACACCAACAAATTTGTTCTTCTTTCTTGATTTGTTTGTTGTTGTGGTGTCCTTGATATTGGTAGAGGTGGTATGCATTTCAGGATCCATGTTTTCTTTTTCAACTTCCTTTTCCCCAATGTTTAAGAGGATATTTTTTGATTTGGAAATCAGTTTGTTAAACTTATACAAGGGATGGAGCCGTTTTCATTTTTATTTTTATTTTTATATTACATTGAATTTGTTTTAGGTACCAAGTTGACCAATTTTTCTATTCTATGACTAAGTGGGGGGAATATGCTATGAAGTATGAGTTGTGAGCATGACAAACTATGTGGAAATGTTTGTTTTTGTTTTGTTGGGTTTCTATCGATGGTACAGCTCAACACGTTCTTTTGCCAGTTCTTTAAAAGAGAAATCACATTTGGCCTTATATGAGATTGGATTTGTATTTCATTACAACACTTTCCTCAATTCATTTATAATTAGTTTTTGTGGTTCAAATAGTGGTGATACTAATGTGTCTAAGTGGTTTTTAAAAAACATTGGACTTTTGCAGTGTCTTGAAAAGCATGTGTTTTTTATTAGCAATTTAATTTTAGCATCAATAAAAGGATTGAAACTAGAAATAGATCATATGCTAGTATTTTCGAATACAAATTCTAGTCAGAAGTCATCAATTAGTTGTAACAATGCTTCAGTATATTTAGGCAAAATAACCCTTAATACCTTGACCTTTTTCGAAATTGCAATTTAATCACGATTTTTTCACTTTACAAATTATATCACAATCTTCATTTTGTTGTTCGACTACATCAACTTTTCTACGACTATTTGTAAACTGTTTACAACAAATTAAAGATCGTGATATAATTTGCAGAAGTGAAAAGGTCATGATTAAATTGCAATTTCGATAAAGATCGAGATATTAGGGACAAATTTGCCTTGTATTTGTGTGTGCATGTGTCATAGAATAAACGTTTATGTAGCAGGAATTACATGCAAAATATATCAGGAATTTCGTGCAAACATAAAACTAAACGACTTACATTTACACGTAAAGCTCTTTCCAAACCAAAAATTCCATTTATTATGCTTAACAAATAAACCAAATACATAACCATGTCTATAACAAACAAATCTCCGATATGATATATCATCACAAGACCAAAACTGAAGGAGTTGCACCCAACTCCCAAATATCACAACCGACCAAACAAAATCTCACAAATAGAAGTAACTTCCCAACACCCCCACCAACCCACCCCAAACAAACAAGAAAGAAGAATAAATAAGTATATTACTTTCCTAGTGATTTTGAAAGCAATAATATACATTTTCTGTAAAACCATCTGCAAAATGGATCGACACTCGACCAAACACAACCAAATGAGGCCGGCATGCATAAACCAATATGCAAAATGAATATTATGCTGTGAAAGCTGGGAGAAAGAATTGGCTTAAGAAGAAAGCTCACCCCAGGAACAAACGACCACACACAATACGCAGAAAGCTCAAGAAAAGCAATAGTTGACATCAGCCCTGTGATGACAGAATTGACTGCAAAGCAAGCTGCTGCTGAGGTTGCAAGGACGACCACGTGGATGCCAGCGTGGAAGGAGGTAGCGTCTGCTGTAGCTGTCTCAACAAATTAACCATTCGACCAGCAGTTTCATCCGAGGCAAGATCCTTACCAGCACACAGAACCTACAACAACAGAAATTTAGATACCAATGATACATGACACGATTTCCGTTTAATATTTTGTCCAACATACAAATTTAGATACAAATGGACCCAAATACAACTCCCATTTGAATGTGTTACACTTTTACAAAATCCCGCCTTTAGTTTTCACGTAAATACAATCCTACAATCCTCAAACGGCTGTTTGCATTAACACAGGACAATTTTGTAAATAAAAACAAATGAATTTGGATGACATTCCTTTTTATCTCATTAGATGTAATTGTAGTTATAATAATTTAACTGATGAAGGTTTTGTAGTTTTTTGTAATTCGGCTAAATCTGATAAGTTGCTGTGATTCCTGGAACCAGATATCATCAAAGAACTTGGGCCAAATATTACAGTCAACATAGTCTTACACATACACAGATGTAATCACAAATTACAGTTGTAAGGGGCATTAAGTTGCTCTAAACAACTAACCTCAGCAAACACGGAAACAATTTTGGGGAGATACTGGTTATTGGGGCCCAAAAGTTCACCGTCAGACCTAAGATGTGGAACATGGTAAGAAGTATAAAAATCAAGGATAAACGTAGACACTAGACAGAAATGAAGATAGATTCGAACAAAGAAGTGCTGCGCCAGAACAGTGTTAAGTCCGGACCTCTCTACCATTGAACAAAGCAGGTCATGAACAACTTTTGCCTCGATAAGATCACCCTTTATTGGCAAGCAACTCAGCCAGGCAGGAACAACCTATTGAAATTACAGTTATCAGAATTTAAGTAAATATGGACAGCATGAGAAAGCAAAAGAAGCATAATAAGTGAAAATGAGATAATGAATAAACCACAAGCAAGACGACTTAAAATAAGAACGTGTAACTTGGCGCAAATTCTCCGAACATAACATATTTACAAGTGCATGAGAAAGCAAAAGAAGCATAATAAGTGAAAATGAGATAATGAATAAACCACAAGCAAGACGACTTAAAATAAGAACGCGTAACTTGGCACAAATTCTTCGAACATAACATATTTACATGTGCAGCTATGTTATCGTATATCAATGTAAACAGTGTTCATTTTCTTAGGACCCCCAACCAGTGAAGTTGGCCTACAGCACACTTCACAAAATTTTGTACGAGTACATGAAACCTACCTATGTATCATAAGTTGAACTAATGTGTTCAAGCCCAGGACACATAAAACTTTAAAGGAAAGTATGCTTACAGTTGGTCCTTTCTAGAGGACAACATACTTCGAGTTCAAATCTATTAGTGGCTAGCATTTACTGCTGACACTTGACGTGCAGCACAAGCCGGAAAATAAGTAAGAAACAGGAACACTACCTGAGCTGAATCAATGCTGTCACGATGAAATTGGCAAATCTTTCCCAGAGTAGAAACAGCATTATCATATGCCATCACATTTTCTGGCTGCAAAGCATTTGGGTTCTTGATAACCACATTAAGCCTTGAAAGAGCCTCTGAACAAATACACACAAGTCAGTTTATGGTTTCAAGATGAAAACTACATCTTACGAAGCTCTGGTACAAGCAAATCATACCTCCTACAAGTGGTTTAAATATAGAGCCTCCAAACTCTGCACATACTCCAAGTCCATACACGGCAGCCTGAGTAAACAAGAGTTAGTTATGATATGCCCAAGCAAACCAGATGAATAGACTATGTTAGCAGCTTTTGTGAACCTGTCTGACATCTGGATTTTCATCATTGCAAGCCTCAAAGAGGAAAGGAAGATACGTATCATAATACCTGGTTGCTCATGAAAAGAAACAAAAGAATTACGAAGATATCCAGATTGTAACAAATTTCAACAATTTTTAAAACTTCTACATACTTCAGAGCTGCTTCACGGCATTGTTCAGCTACATCATCAAATATACAAATAGCAATTCTTCTCTCTTCCGCTGTCTTATCCTTCCCCTGCAAGACAAGATAAAACCTCAATCATCCATTCAACCTAGCATAATGTATATGAAACCACAGTTATGTTAGTATATTCATTTTTCTGAATCAAGGAATGACATCAACTCACCCACATAGGCATCAGATATGATGTCAGTTCATCAAAGAAAGGCAAGAACGAACCCTTGAATGTTTTAATTAGCGTTCCCAATAATTCGCCAATCTGAATGAAGCGAGAACCACAAGGAATAAAAAATTAATGAATGAGCATCTTAGAACTTATGCAACACCGTATCGTCATTATCCAAAGTAAAAACGAACCTGGTCAAATACTTCTTCCTCTTGCTCATTTTCTTCTTTAATCAGTTCTCCCTCCTCAGCATCGAAATCTTCAACTGTGGCTCTTTCGGCCCTCTCCTTTTTCCTACTTGAGCTAGCAGTGATCACCTGCTTTATCTCATCCACAATTCTTCTGACCTGACTCTCGTCTAAAAGCGGTCCACAAATCTGAGAGCAACAGTATTCAATGAATGATAATAAATTGCTAGCAGCTGGTAAGATTGGAACTCCATGAACATAAGTAGAATGCAGTAAATTATGAATTTAAATCCTATCCAGATTTTCCAATTCAAACTTGGTGCTTTCGATGAAACATTAATTATCTTACAACACAAACAGAGCCAGTTCCTACTACAGCCTCTTAGGGAAGATACAATAATGCAGTCAACTTAACTAATTTGCGGTGAATTATAATAACTCAACTGAAAACATTAACGGGGTATATTCGCTTGGGATTTCTAAAGACTTTTTAAGACTTCAGAAATCCTAGTGTATTTAATTTAGACATTTTAAGCCACTTTAAGACTTTTAAAAGTCTTGACGTATTCATTTGAGATTTTAAAAAGCCTTACAAAATCTTGAGGTATTTAACTTACTTAAGATTTGTTAGAACTTCTTAAGATTTGATGGGATTTCAAAAGAAAAAATCATATATACCAAATCTCACTCCAAATCTCACCTCCAAACTTGAGATGTAATAGGATTCCTCCTAAATCCAAAAATCTTTAAAAAGTCTCAAAATGTCAATCAAAATCCCAAAAGAATA